CACACACACACACACACACACACCACACACACACACACACACACCACACACACACACACCACACCACACACACACACACAAAAAACCACACACACACACACACACACAGCACACACACAACACACATAACACAACATACAACACAAACACAAAACAAAAATAAACATAGCCATAAACACACACAAAACACAAACAAAAATAAACAAGTCAATCAAGGGACAAACAAAAATATCTAATGATTTACACAATTTTTTCACTGTCGAAAAATGTAATTCTTTAAAGGAAGTACAATACAACCTTTTTTTCTTTTCGTTTATTTATCTTTGTCCTTTTTTATTTTTGCATCTTTTATTATTATTATATTTCACTTTTTTGTGTTTTTCCTTTTTCTTCTTGTTATTATTATAACTATTTATTATTATTATTATTATTATTATTGTTATTGTTGTTATTATCATTATCTATCCTCCTCCTCCTCCTCTCCCTCCATCCCCTTGCCCCTCCTCCTCTTCCTCCTCCTGTCCTCCTCCTGTATCCTCCTCGCCTCCTCTTCTTCCCTCTTCCCCTCCCCCTCCCTTATACCTTCCTCCTCCTCCTCACCCTCCTCTCTCCCTCCTCTCTCTTTCTCTTCCCACTCTTCCACCAATCCTGCCCCCCCCCCCCCCCACACACTCATCTCCTCCCCTCTCTTCTCTCCTTCCTCCTTAACTCCCTTCCTCTTCCTCCAATTCTCATCGCCCTTCCTCCTCCACTCCCTTCCCCTTCCCCCCCCCCTCCTCATCGCCCTTTCTTCCTCTCCTTCCTCCTCCTCCTCTCCCCTCCTCCTCCCCCTTCCTCCTCTCCTTCCTCCCTCCCCCTCCTCATCGCCCTTCCTCTTCCCCCAATCCTCTCCACCACCTCCACTCATCTTCCCCCTCCTCCTCTCCTTCCTCTTCCTCCTCCCACTCTTCCCCCAATCCCCTCCACCACCCCCACTCATCTTCCCCTCCACCACCACCCACTCATCTTCCCCCTCCTCCTCCCCCCTCCCGCCCCCACCACCCCCACTCATCTTCCCCCCTCCTCCTCCACCTCTCCCCCCCCGCCCCCCCCCACTCCCCAATGTCACCTCTTCGTCTCTCTCTTCCCCCCTCGACCTTGACCTTGACCCACCTCGTGTCAGGAAACAGAAGACAATCGTCTCGGAGACTCGGATGATCTTCTTGGCTGTCTTGTCGGTCTGAATCTTCGCGCCGAGAGGGAGAGGGAGAGGGAGAGGGGGGGGGAGGGGAGAGGGAGGGAGAGGGAGGGGAGAGGGGGAGGGAGAGAGGGAGAGGGAGAGGGAAGGGGAGGGGAGAGAGAGAGGGAGAGGAGAGAGGGAAGGGGTAGAGGGGGAGGGGAGAGTGGGAGGGGGAGAGAGGGGGAGAGAGAGGGAGAGGGAGAGGGAGAGAGAGGGAAGGAGAGGGAGAGGAGAGGAGAGAGACAGACAGACAGACAGACAGAAAGGAATAATAAAAACATGTAGATGGATTTAGGATAAAGAAAAAACTGAATAAGTAAAGAAAAGGTGATGCAGTAGGATAAAGTGATGAATATGTTCAAAAGGAACGTGTATATACACTCTATCTCGTGTGTTATTCCAAGGTATGCAAACACGTGTATGTACATCAGGAAATACACTGACAAAAACGAATCATGGACATACAAAGAACGCAAAAAAGCACACACCTAGATACAGCTATGAATATACATAAGTACACGCACACGCGTTAAAACACCCACACGTGCTAACACACGTTTACACACACACACAGACACACATGCCCACACACACACGTCACACACACACGCACACACACACACACACACACACACACACACACACACACACACACACACACACACACACACACACACACACACACACACACACACACACACACACACACCACACACACACACACACACACACACACACACACACACACACACACACACACACACACACACACACACACACACACACACACACACACACACACACACACACACACACACACACACGCACGCACACCGCGAGAAAGTGAGCGGGGTTACAATTTTACTATGTGCTGTTGCGGTAACCTTTGTTTGCTCACCAAGGACCCCCTCCCCCCTCCCCCGTGCTCTTCTCCCCCCCCCCCATCCCCCAATCTACTCCTACCTCCTACTCCCTCTTTTCTACCCTCGTGTCTCCTGTCTTCCTCTTCCTCCTCTTCTTCCTCTTCTCCCTTGTCACACTTTCTTTTCTGTCCTTGTGTCTCCTGTCTTCTTCTTCTCCTTCCTCTTCCCTGTTACACTTTCTCCTCTTCTTCCTCGTTTTATCTGTTCTCCCTCTACCTCGTTTTCCTTCCTGCTCTTCCTCTCCATCCTCCTTCTATCCCTACTGTCTTCTCATCCTTCTCCTCTCTCCTGTCTTCTCTTCCTCCTTCTCCTCCTCACTTCGTTATTCCTCCCTCTTCGTTCCCGTCCCTTTACCCCTACCCCCTTTCCCTCAACCCCTTCTCTCTCTTCTTCTATCCTCCCTCCCCACCTCCCCCTTCCTCCCCACCTCCCCCTCCTCCCCACTCCCCCCTTCCTCCCACCTCCCCCTTCCCTCCTCCTCCTTCTCTCTCTCCTCTTTCCTCACACTCCCTCCTCCGTCCCTTCATCACCCCCCTCCTTCCTTCCCCTTTCCCCTCCTCCTCCTTCCCCCTTCCCTCTACTCCCTCCCTCCCCCCCCACCTCACCCCTTCCTTCCTCCCACGCTCTCCACCTCCCCCCTTCCTTCCTCACCTCCCCACCCCCCACCCTCTCCAGCTCCCCCCTTCCTTCCTCTCCCCCTCCTCCTCCTCCTCTTCCCCCTCCCTCCTCACCCACCCCACCCCCCCACCTCCCCCCTTCCTTCCTCCTCCTCCTCCTCCTTCCCGCTCACACCTCGGCCACGTAGCGAGGTGGTCTTGCATTGCCAAGCAACGGCGTAATACTGATTTACTTTCGCTGTGGCTTTCCGTTTTAAGGTCTCGGTTCGTGGTCGGTTTATCTCCTGTGGGTTTCTCTTGTTTTGTGTAAGCGCCCGTATGGATGTTTGTTTGGTGTGTGTGTGTGTGTGTGTGTGTGTGTGTGTGTGTGTGTGTGTGTGTGTGTGTGTGTGTGTGTGTCTGTCTGTGTGTGTTAACCGTTTGTCTTTTTTTCTGCTTCTGTCTCTATATGTGCGAATTTAGTGTTTGTTTGTTTTTAACTGTGTTTATTTATTGTTTTTTAATGCCTTAAAGTTCCATAATATTGTCCTGTTCCTATTCAATCTGCATTTACTCACCTTTTGCCACTGATAAAGAAGATCAAACCGACAACAAATGGTAACTGCCGAACTTGCTCATTCATATACATAATGGTCTTTTAACCCGCACGCCCAAAGAATCAGGTTTACTGTTAATTAATGTTAAAAGCCTTGTCGCCCACTCAGACGACCCAGGCTTAGGTGATTATCTCGACAGCATGATCCGACGTTCTATATTTGGTCCATTGATAATAAATGTTTAAGACTTGATTACAGATACGATGATGTCGTGTTTAAGATTCCACAGATCTCAATTCTGCCGTCGTGGAATTTCCCAACGATTTTCTTTTTTTAAATTCAGAGCTCTGTATCTTTGTTATCAGCTGAGGGGGGGGAGGGGGTGGGTGAAGGGAGAAGGGGGATGGGGGGTGGGTGAAGGGAGAAGGGGAGTGGGTGGTTGGAAGGAGGTGAGGGGGAGGTCGTGCATCTTCCTCCTCCACTTGCCTCCAGTTATCCCCAGTTGCTACTGTATTTTACAATGATTTTTTTCTCTTTTTCTTCCTCAGATGACGAGCAGATCTGACTGACGACGCAGAGGAATCCTCGGAGAAGACGGCCTCTCCAGATACAGTCGATTGGCCCATAGAACCCCAGGAAACACCTGCGCCTTCCTTATCTTTGTTGTTGTTGTTATTTACCCCCTTTTTGCCGCGTGACATGCAAAGAGGACACCGAGCGAACCGCCCCAGTTTGTGATATCTCGAGTGCCTTTTAGATAATAAGGATTCTCTAAATCTCTATCTGGCTCGCCCTCTCGTCGCTCCTCTCGCTTCCTCCCCCACCCCCTTGCCCCCCAGGTTGTAGTATCTCGCATGCCTGTCTTTGAAGATAAAAGGCGATAACGCTTTCAGATAAGTGACCCCCCGATCTCGAGGCGGCGTTCAGTTTACGTAAGTGTTTAATGGACTTTTAAGGAGTGGGGAGCGATAGTCTTCTCGACGCGGTCTGTCCCGGCCGAGGAACGTCTTCTGAGACCCTCTTGCGCGTGACTGCCTGCGTGTCACCGAGTCCGACCTGAAGGACACCATTTTCGCGGCCTCACCACAACAAGCGAGTGACCTTTCGCGGCGGCCAGGGTCCAGTCCAGGGCAGGCGTAGGTCACGACGACGGACGGCCAACACCTGCTGACCCGGTCTGGCCAGTGACCAGCTGGTGCTTGCTGCTGTTCCCGCGGGCTCTGAAAGCGAAGCGGGGCGAGCGGACGGCGCTGACCTTGGCAGAGGAAGGCAGGCGGCCGAGTTTCACCAGCGAGACGCCCACGACGGTGCTTGCGAGCGTCTTGGCGTCCCGGCTGGGCGTGCCCGTCGAGAGAGGGAGAGGAGCGGGGTTGTCTGGGCGCTCGGGCGATCCTCCCGCGGTCCTTCCACGGTCCCTCTTGCCGATTTGCGGATTTTAAGGACCGATTTTATCCCCGAGTTAAGCCAGGCGAGCGTGGCGACCGGGAGACCTGGTTATCCAACCCTGAAATAACAGAAGAAAAGCGAACGCGACTCTTGTCTACCTCCTGCCTCCGTCACACCGTCCGGAGACTGTGACACGCCGGCCTGACACCGACTTGACGTCTTCCTGACACCGGTCTGACATCTTCCTGACACCAAGATGTCCGTCAGCTGGAAGATCCCCCCCGGTGAGTCCGAGGAGGAGGAGGATGACGACGACACCGACGAAGGGTTCCGCCAGTACGAGCAAACTCTGGTGAGTACCCCGATCTTTAAGACCTTTTAATCTATTTATCTGTTATCATTGTCTTTTGGTTTCTCTTCTCTATCCGTTCTTGGTATTCATTGATTTTTTTTCCTATTTGTTCTGCTTTTTTTTTAATGTGGTTGATAATTTTTTTTTTCTTTTTTCTTTTTATTCTTCTTTTTCTGTGTTCGGATGCTGCTGTTCTTGACTTGCCTCGCCCAGAACGTCGAATCTCGTGGGTCGTTTTTGCGTATCATCTCATAGTGACTTGTGCTTATTATTGGTCCGTATCAGACACCAGTATTATTTTTGTTTTTTTTTATTTCTTTTTAATCCCTTATCTTGGGGGCATCCTCCTGCAGTAATGGAGTATTGTCTGTGAGGAGTAAAGGGTTCTCGAAGGCATTTTGAGCAATATGGATAAAGGCGGTTTTCAAAGGTTACTTTTGCTATAGAAAAGAGAAAGAAAAAATAAGTGACATGGGAGATGTATGAAGCAAAACTTGCAAGTCAAAAATGGAAGTCATTGTAGTCTTTTCTTATTCTTTTTTTTTTTTTTTACTTCTCTCGTTCCTTCAGATTCTCTTAACCTGCTCTTCTCTTCTCGTCCATTCTTTCGCTCTGAACAAGGAACAGGAATCAGGAATTAATACGAATCTTGTATTATCCAAGAACCAGTTTCGATCATACTGTCTTCATTCACTATTTTAAGCCCTAGGAAAACGCAGGCAGTAATCCATGCAAGGTGTTACGCGAACGAGACCAGACCTGGGAGCGTCACAATCATGAATAGTAATCAGGCGTTCTTATAACAAAAGCCTGTCGACAAAGGCATATTCCCGTGGCGTTTTTGTTTTCTAGTGATTTTTTTTTCTGCGATTTTTTCTTTCATTGATTAAATTTGTGAATGGGAGTGTGTTTATAAAGTTTAGGAAAGTATTGTATGTACTGATACACACACACACTAGTGCAGTACCGACTTTGCAACCCGTTCTTTACGTCATTGCATTTTTGTGACGTCATAGAGAGGTCCGACGGTGGGGATATCCTGAGCGCGAAGCACTTCCAGCCGCGCTTTTAGCCTCTCTCTTTTTTTCTTCTTCTTCTCCTTCCATTCCACACTTACTTATCCGTTTATACCATCAAACGTTTCGCGCCATTCTGCCCTTTCTCAGAATCGACAAAAATCCCCCGAAGAATAAAGAGAGGACAGAAAAATAGACGAAAGAAAATAGATAAAGAAGCGGCGCGCGGCAGAGGACGCTGGGCCAAAACTGGTTCCGAGGATAGCCTGCAAAGCGCGCGCGGACCCAAAAGTTCTTTTATTGTTACAACTTGACCTCCAACTTACCCTAAGCAATGGCCGGGGGATCACGTGACTTGTTCGTGGAAAACGTTTTTTTTTACGATTCTCCTGACTTAGCGTAATATTTTTTCTTTAATGTGAGCATGTAGGTGAGTGAGGTTAGGTGAGATTTTAGAGGGGGTTGGGAGGGGGGGTTGGTAGGGGGGCAGAAAGGGAGGGAGGGAGGTAGGTAGAAAAAGGAAGAAGAAATAGAGAAGGATATATGGAAGAAAAATTGCGAAGAAGAGGAAGATGAGAGTGAGAGAGAGGGGAGAGAGAGAGAGAGAGAGAGAGAGAGAGAGAGAGAGAGAGAGAGAGAAGAGAGAGGAGAGAGAAGATAGATAGAAGGAGAGAGAGGGTGAAGGAATAGAGAGGGATAGAAAGCCAAGGAAAAAGAAGAGGTGAAGACAGAAATGCGAAAGACGGACGAAAAAAAGAGGAAGATGAGGGTAAAGAGAGGAGGTGAGAAAGGAAATTGAAAGGTATTGAGGAATAGAATGCAGGAGGAAGAAAGAGATAAAGACATGGGAGAGACAGAGGGATAAGGGGAGAGAGAAAGGAGAGAGAGAGAGAGAGAGAGAGAGAGAGAGAGAGAGAGAGAGAAGAGAGAGAGAGAGAGAGAGAGAGAGAGAGAGAGAGAGAGAGAGAGAGAGAGTGAGTGAGGAAGAGGAAAAGAGAGGAGGGAGGGAGGAGAAGAAAGAGACAGACACAGACAGACAGACAAAAAAAAAAAAAAACATACCGGAGAGCCAAGGTAAGAAAGTTAAATATCATAAAAAAAAAAAATCGACGGAGCATCAACCCCTTTCCCCCCCCTCCTCCCCCCCCCCCCTCCCTCCCCTCCCAGCATCCGGGACGTGACAACATCAGATTCTCCCTCAACGAGACGAGAGTCCAAGAATCCGCGATGCATAAGATTTACCTCCTGGCGACATCCCCCCCCCCCCCGATTCCCCAAGGTCAGGTCGTCCCAGGTCATGAGATCTGCATGATTTTGGATCCGTAGGTAGGTCATGCAGAGGAAGGTCATGTCGATTTTGGATCCTTAGGTCATGCAGAGGAAGGTTCATGTCGATTTTTGGATCCGTAGGTCATGTCGATTTTGGATCCATAGGTCATGCAGAGGAAGGTCATGTCGATTTTGGATCATGCATTGTCGATTTTTGGATCCGTTGGTCATGCAGAGGAAGGTCATGTCGATTTTGGATCCATCCGTTGGTCATGCAGAGGAAGGTCATGTCGATTTTGGATCCATGAGGTCATGTCGTATCCGTTGGTCATGCAGAGGAAGGTCATGTCGATTTTGGATCCATAGGTCATGTCGATTTTGGATCCATAGGTCATGCAGAGGAAGGTCATGTCGATTTTGGATCCATAGGTCGTCGAGGATCCGTTGGTCATGCAGAGGAAGGTCATGTCGATTTGGATCCATAGTCATGCGATTTTGGATCCTTAGGTTCATGCAGAGGAAGGTCATGTCGATTTTGGGATCCATAGGTATGTCGATTTTGGATCCGTTGGTCATGGCAGAGGAAGGTCATGTCGATTTGGATCCGTTGGTCATGCAGAGGAAGGTCATGTGATTTGGATCCGATTGGGGATCCGTTTTGGTCATGCAGAGGAAGGTCATGTCGATTTTGGATCCTTAGGTCATGCAGAGGAAGGTCATGTCGATTTTGGATCCGTAGGTCATGCAGAGGAAGGTCATGTCCGATTTTGGATCCTTAGGCATGCAGAGGAAAGGTCATGTCGATTTTGGACAGTCATGTCGATTTTGGAGTTGGTCATGGCAGAGGAAGGTCATGTCGATTTTGGATCCTTAGGTCATGCAGAAGGAAGGTCATGTCGATTTGGTTGATCCGTCATGCAGTCATGTCGATTTTTGGATCCCAGGAGGAAGGTCATGTCGATTTTTGGATCCTTAGGTCATGAGAGGAAGGTCATGTCGATTTTGGATCCTTAGGTCATGCAGAGGAAGGTCATGTCGATTTTGGATCCTTAGGTCATGCAGAGGAAGGTCATGTCGATTTTGGATCCGTAGGTCATGCAGAGGAAGGTCATGTCGATTTTGGATACCGTTTTGGATCCTTAGCATGCAGAGGAAAGGTCATGTCGATCTTTCATCAGAGGAGGTCGTCGATTTTGGATCCGGTGGTCATGCAGAGGAAGGTCATGTCGATTTGGGATCCTAGGTCATGCCAGAGGAAGGTCAATGTCGATTTTGGATCCTTAGGTCATGCAGAGGAAGGTCATGTCCGATTTGGATCCTTGGTCATGCAGAGGAAGGTCATTCGATTTTGGGATCTTAGGTCATGCAGAGGAAGGTCATGTCGATTTGGATGCCGTTGGTTCATGCAGAGGAAGGTATGTCGATTTTGGATCCGTTGGTCATGCAGAGGAAGGGTCGATGTGATTTTGGATCCCGTTGGTCATGCAGAGGAAGGTCATGTCGATTTTGATCCTTAGGTCATGCAGAGGAAGGGTCATGTCGGATTTTGGATCCGTGGTCATGCAGAGGAAGGTCATGTCGATTTTGGATCCTTAAGGTCATGCAGAGGAAGGTCATGTCGATTGTCCATAGGTCATGTTTTTGGATCCGTTGGTCATGAGAGGGAAGGTCATGTCGATTTTGGGATCCTGGATCCAATAAGGTTGCCAGAGGAAGGTCATGTCGATTTTGGATCCGGTCATGCGTCCGATGCAGAAGGAAGGTCATGGTCGGATTTTGTGCAGTCCTTGGATCATTGCAGAAGGAAGGTCATGTCGATTTTGGATCGTAGGTCTAGCAGAGGAAGGTCAATTGTGATTTTGGATCCTTGGTCATGCAGAGGAAGGTCATGTTCGATTTTGGATCCTTAGGTCAATGGTCAGAGGCAAGGTCATGTCGATTTTGGATCCGTTGCGTCATGCAGAGGAAGGTCATGGTGATTTTTGGTCATGCACGTCATGGATCGATCATGCAAGAGAAGGTCATGTCGATTTTGGATCCTTGAGGTCATTGCAGAGGAAGGTCATGTCCGATTTTGGATCCTTAGGTCATGCAGAGGAAGGTCATGTCGATTGGATCTTTCGAGATCCTTAGGGTCATGCAGAGGGAAGGTCATGTCGATTTTGGATCCGGATGGTCATGATTTGGATCTTAGGTCATGCAGAGGAAAGGTTCATGTCGATTTTGGGTCCTTTAGGTCATGCCAGAGGAAGGGTCATGTCGATTTTTGATCCTTAGGTCATGCAGAGGAAGGTCATGTCGATTTTTGGATCACTTGGTCATGCAGAGAAGGTCATTGTCGATTTTTGGATCCATTGGTCATGCAGGAGGAAGGTCATGTCGATTTTTGATCCTAGGTCATGCAGAGGAAGTCATGTCGATTTTGGATCCTTAGTCATGCAGAGGAGGGTCATGTCGATTTTGGATCCGTTGGTCATGCAGAGGAAGGTCATGTCGATTTTGGATCCTTAGGTCATGCATGGAAGGTCATGTCGATTTTGATCCTAGGTAGGTCAGCCGAGGAAGGTCATGTCGATTTTGGATCATAGGTCATGCAGAGGAAAGGTCATGGATTTTGGATACCTGGTAGGTCATGCAGAGGAAGGTCATGTCGATTTTGGATCCATAGGTCATGCAGAGAAGGTCATTGTCGATTTTGGAATCCTTAGGTCATGC